CAGGGGAAGGGAATGGAAGGAGGAGATCACCGAGGTGGCCTGCAGCCGCTAAGGTCGGGCTTTGTGGGCCATGAGGTGCATGAAATCTGGATTTTATTCTCCATGTGCTGAGAAGCCATTGAAGGACGTTAATGCAGGGGAGTGACATGGCTTGATTTGCAGTTCCTCTAAGGAACTGTTTTGTGAAGTTTTACGCAGTTTTATGAAGAACACAACTGAAGACAACCAGACTCTTAAATACAGAGAACAAACTGGTGGCTGCCAGGAGCAGCAGGGGGGCGGTGGGGGAGGGTGAGGAAGGGAGGGCATGGGTGAAATAGGCAAAGCAGATTAAGAGGTACAGACTTCCAGTTCATGGAGATGAAAAGTGTAACATAGAGAATATTGTCAACAGTACTGTAATAGCATTGTTTGGTGACAGATGGTGATATACTTACCGTGGTAAATGCTAAGTAATGTATAGAATTGTTGAATCAATATATTGTACACCTGAAACTAACATAACATTGTATGTTAATGACACTTAAAAGAAAATGGAAGAAGGGAAGCCAGTTAGGAGGCTAATGCCGTAGTCCAGGCAAGACAGGACAATAGCTGGAGCTGAGGGAGGAGGTAGTGATAGGAGTGAATGGATCCAGACGTACTTTGGAAGTAAAGCCAAACCCACTTGCTGATGTGCAGAACGAAGGAAAGGGAGAAAGATAGATGCCCGGTTATTTTGTTTCAGGAACTGGTTGGAGGGAAAACTCAGGGAGTAACAGGTATGGAGGGACATGAGTCAGGAGCCAAAATTCCCATTTTGGCCATGTGATGTTTGTGTTGCCTGTTTGACATCTACATGGAGACACCTGATTTGTTATATGGGTTTAGAGCTTGGTGAGCAGGTCAGGACTGGAGATACACATCTGGGAGTTATAGGCATTCCAATGCATTTAAAACCACAGGGCGAGATGAGATCCTGGCAAGGAGTGTGGATAGAGTTGAGAAGGCAGCCGTCCCATCGCTGCCTGGGTCACTCTGACACTTTTAGGTGTACCAGAGGCGGGGAGGAGGAACCTGAGCAGGAGTGGTCAGTCAAGGAGGGGGAAGGTGAAGTACCCAGGAGCCAAGTAAGGGATTCTTTCAAGAAGGGGGAAATCTTCGGCTGGGTCAAGTGTTGCTTAATGGTTAAATAAGATGAGGTCAGAAAAGCGACCACAGGACTCGTCAACATGGAGATAATTGGTGACCTTGACAAGTGCCATGAATGTGGAGACCCGCCCCCAGGGGGTGGAGTTGAAAATGGGACGCAAAAAAGTGAAAGGCAACGTGGGCACCTGCAGAAGCCCCACTGAGACGAGGCTGCTCCAGAAAGATGGGGGATTTGAGGGCAGGAAGTTTCCCAAGGATGGAAGATGCTGATAGGAAGGGAAGGAAGATACGCGTCTGGGGAAGGAAGAGGAGATGGTGGCAGGAGCAGAATCCTTGAAAAGGCTGGCAGCCACGGAGACTGGAACCGACAGGCAGGGTGCGGCGCTAATAGAGCGAGGAGAAGGAGCGAGCATGCGGGGGTGGGGGGTCTGTCCTGTCGGGAGGGGGGAGCTCTCCCATCTCTCTGCTGCTGCCCCCTCAGTGATGTGTGAACAGCACCTTCCTGGAGAGAGGGTTCAGGCCGGCAGGTTTGAGGGAAGGAGCAAGTCTGCAAGCATTATGGGGCAATTTGAGTCCATCTGAAAACTGATTCTTAAATATTCTAAAACTAAATTTTAGGGGTGCCCGGCTGGCTCAGTTGGAACCTGCAGTTCTTGATCTCGGGGTTGTAAATTCAATCCCCATGTTGTGTCTAGAGATTACTTAAAAATAAAATCTTAAAAAAAAAAACCTAAATTTTAAAACAACTTTTTTTCTAATGTTTGTTTGTTTTGAAGGAGAGAGAGCGCGCGCACGTTTGAGCATGCCCCGGGCAAGCTGGGGAGGAGCAGACAGGGTCTGAAGCAGGCTCCCCGCTGGCAGCACAGAGCCTGATGGGCTCCAGTTCACAAACGGCAAGATCATGACCTGAGCTGAAGTCGGTTCCTGAGTTCAAGCCCCGCATTGGGCTCTGTGCTGACAGTCCAGAGCCTGGAGCTTGCTTCGGATTCTGTGTCTCCCTCTCTCTCTTCCCCTCCCCAGTTTGCACACACACTCTCTCTCTCTCTCTCTCTCAAAAACAAAAAAACATTAAAAAGGGAGAGAGAGAATGAGGGAGAGGATGAAGGCGGGAGAAAGTTTGTTCTTAAAATAAGATATGGTGTTCACTTTATGCAAAGTAGCTCCTGGTTGTTGACACAAGAGACCCACAACCAGCACACAGGGCACTGACCATGGAGAAGAAAATAGAGTAAGACATCGTCCTGGGCCTGAGGGTTGAAGGCCATGCCTCCCACCCAGTAAAACGTCAGGAGTGCTTCAGCGTCTTTCCAACAGTGTCCTCAGCATATCCGCCCTCCCCAATGAAAATAACGATGATGATGTGTTTCCACATGATGTTTTCCCCAACCCTCCGCAGCACATAAGGAAAAATATTTTAAGTTAAAAAGTTCTATGCAAGTTAAAACGTCTGTGCAAGTCAGCTTCTAGACAAGCCTGATGCTGCAGCACTTACAAGTGATAGTGTCCCGAAAGCTTTCTGGAGCCACCTCTGCTCCTGAAGTTCTCCAGGAAAAACACATCACGTGGGGTCATATGCCCTGCCCACCACAGCCTCCCTGCCTAAATACAACCCCTGTTCTCCATGCTCTCTCTTCCTAGTTTAATGGTTGCACAACATTCTACCAAATGGATGTTTATTCTGTACTTTACCCTTCCCCTGTGAGTCATGAATGTTACTTTTATAAGTGATGCCATGATAAACACCTGATAAATCACTCTTCTCATATCCTGCACTGTCTCCTTAGGAAGAGCCTCAGGGTGATATTGCTGTGTGAGGGGGCACACACAGTCTGATAGCAAAATATCTGTGACCACCTCACATTTGCCAAATTGTGGCAATTTGCTTGCCCCCTGCGATATGGGAGTATGATTATTTGACTACATTACTGCCAACGCTGGGAATCATCTTACAATTTGGGGTTTAAATGAATAATGGAACAATTATTGCCCCAGCGTTTTACTTTGAGTGAGTATTGAGTAGTCCTTATTCCCCAATGTCATGGCTATCTGTCAACTCTGAGAGTGGGTTCTCTGGGATTTGGGGCATGCTGAGATGATCCCTCCCTCCTCTAGCCCTCAATATAGGACTCCAGTCACTGGATCTGAGCTGGAATCAGTTCCACACACGGGGAGCTGTGGCCTTGTGCAATGGTCTCCGGGTAAGTCTCTCTCTGGCAGTGGTGTGTTGAAACCAGTGAGGATGGTCAGGGTTTCGCATCCCACCATCTTGAACGTCTTCCTCATGACCCCCCTGATGAGTACACACTGAGCTCTCATCAAGTCCTTTCACGTTGGTAGCATCCCTCCCCAATTCCTGGATGTGCCTTCTTCTTTAGGATAAATCCTACTTCAGCAGGTTCACCTTGCTGGGGTCTTGGTGTCATCTTTGGGGATGCTTCAAGAGGGCAGTTTAATTAAGGGGTAAAGAATGACCAGACTCTGACTCCCCCCACTGGGAGGGATCTGACTGAGCTCTCCCTCCTGGGGACCACTGAGCACCCAGTCTGGATGGCAGCAGGGGAGAGAAACCAGGGCCTCTTGGCTGGGTGAGTCACATGCAACCTTGATGCTGGTGCTGTTCTTTTTCCTCCCCGGAGGCTAATGTAACCCTGCAGAAACTGGATCTCTCTATGAACGGCTTTGGGAACGAGGGGGCTACGGCCCTGGGAGAGGTCCTCAGGCTCAACAACTCCCTGGTCCACATAGACGTCAGCAGCAATGACATCAGCAACGAAGGAGTCATCAAAATCAGCAAAGGACTGGAGTTCAATGAGAGCCTCAAAGTTCTGAAGGTAAAGTCTTTACTTAAGCTGGGGATGGGCCACTTTGTGTGTGTGTCCGTGTGCATGTGTGCACGCCCATGCTTCTGTGTGCGTCCGTGTTTCCATGGCACCCACATGTCCACGCTTGTGTGCCTGCATCCGTGTATATATCTGTGCGTGCACACCCATGCATCTGTGTGTGTGCATCCACGTGTTTATGTGTGTTCATCTGTGTGTGTGCATCCATGTGTGTGTCTGTGCATCCTTGTGCCCATGTGTGTGTATCAGTGCGTGTCCCTGTGTCCTTGTGCGTCCACGCATCCGTGTGTGTGTATGTGTGTATCTGTGGGGGGAGGGTGGGGAGAGCAGGGTGATGGAGTTGCATATTGCTGGAGAGAATCATTGGGAAAATTCACCTTATGTTTCACATGTGCGTAGGTTCTTGACTGTCTCTCTCCTGTAAACCTAATGTCACCCTCTGCTGTCACCAGGTGCATGATGTCAACTCCTAACCGGTCTTCCTTCCTCCCATCTGGGTCTCCTCCAGACTCTGCTTCACCCTGAAGCTAGAGTGTGTGTTTTGAGCATAAGTCTGACTTCCACCCCCCCCCCCCCATCTAGTCCCCTCCAGCTTAGACTCCCCACTCCATGGCCTCCTGTGGTGGAAATCCAGTTCTCTCACCCCGGTGTGCTTCTCCAGCCTCAGTTTACCCCATGCTCTCCCTTGTTGTCCAGCCACTGCCTCGGGGGTTTCTTTCAAGATTCTTCCTTATACTCTCATTTCAGTGACTAGTTGACTGGTCACCTCCACTGGTGTGAGAGCTTCCTGAGAGCGAACACTCTGTTTGGTCCTGCCCATTACTATTCCCCCGGGCCTAGCATAGTTGCTGGGCCTATAGGAGATGCCTGATGAATGTCAGCTAAGTGAATGAGTGGATCCACCTTTCATTTTAAGTTGATTGGCTTATAGACGCTAATGTATAACATGGCAGCTCCTGGGTTGTTGGAAAACAGAAGAAAGATGAGGACTTCCACTACCGGTTCCCCTTTCTGGGGCTCCTGCCGTGAGCCAGGGGCAGACAGGTGGTTTGCTGCTGGCTCACAGCCCGACCCTCCGACGTGCGCTCCACTAGCTCCCCTGTCAGATGAGAAAGCTGAGGCTCTGTGACTTGCTCGGGTGATGTAGCTCGAGAGGCAAGGAAGTCAGCCTTGCCAGGCTTCCCCGCTGCAGTTCAAATTCCTCAAGATGTGGGGGCGATTCGGGAGGACCACAGGTGTGGGGGTGCTGGTGGAGAAGGACGGGAGTTAGAAATCAGCGATAGGGTGCCTGGGTAGCTCAGTCGGTTAAGCATCTGACTTCGGCTCATGGTGGTTTACAAGTTTGAGCCCCGCGTCAGGCTCTGTGCTGACAGCTCGGAGCCTGGAGCCTGCTTCAGATTCTCTCCTCTCTCTCTCTCTCTCTGCCTTTCCCCCACTTATGCTCGCTCGCTCTCTCAAAAATAAATAAAAACATTTAAAAATTACAAAAAAAAAGAAAGAAAGAAATCAGCAACAATGAGCTGCCATCCGAGAGGACAAGCACCTTAGAGCTGCGAAAAGGAAGTCAGATTGCCAGCACTGGAGGGAGCATGGTGACTGTCTAGTGACAGTGAGAGCTGGGAACGAGGCCTGACCAGAGCAGGAGGAGGAGTAACTCAGAGAAGAGAGACTGATGCAGCCTGCCAGTGGCTCAGCCTCCGTGGAACCGTGAAGCCAAGGAAAGTGCAGAGAACCTGCATCTTCCAAGATTGAAAGGTTGCCTCAACAAAATGGCAATAGGGATTTTCCCTAATTGGTGGCGGTACTGGTGACTTTAACATTTTTTTCTACCTCTTTTTGGATTTTTTCTATAATGACCATGCATCATTGTTTAAATGCTTAAACACGTTGTCCCGTGTTTAAATATACTTAAAATTTGTAAATGTTTTAAAATGAAAGAAAAAAATTTTACTGATTTATTTTTATTTTTTAAATAGGCTCCATGCCCAATGTGGGGCTCGAACTCATAACCCCAAGATCAAGAGTCACACGCTCTACTGACTGAGCCAGGCTCGCACCCCAAGAAAAAAATTTTAAACACATCAAGTGCCACCCTCCTTTCCCTACTCTTGGAAAAATAATGATGTTCCCAGGGAAGGGAGTCAAACAAAGGATTCTAGAAGCTAACTTTTGGCTGCCTCATCAAGAAGCCACCCGGTGGAAAGCCTTCAACAGTATTAACTAACATTCGTTTGCTGCTTACTATGTACCAAGCACTCTCTTGAATACTTTGCTTGAATTGATTTATTGGATCCTCAGAGTAGCCCTAAGTGATAGGTGCCTAGTGGCCAGGGAAATAACCCAAGGCCAGAAAGCTAGTAAGCAGAGCCACTGGGGTCTATGTTCCTTGCTGTGAACCACCACACCAAGCTTCATTGGCTCCCAGCCCCACTGGAATAATGCCTTGAGTGCTTAGCTAAGTCCACATGGTCCCTGTGATCTGGCCCAGCCCTGTTCTGTGGCCTCGTTCTTCCTGCTCCTGCTCATGAAATGTTTGCTATTGCCCAAACACCTCTGCACCTTTGCACTTGCCTCCCCTTTGCCTTCTTTGGTGCGTCTCATTCCCTCCTCTGGTCCTAGCCCTGCTTCTTCAGACCAGAATAATCCCTATTAGTCCCACAAGGCTTAGCTCCAGTGTCCCCTCCACTGTACCAGATGCCCCTTTCCTTGCTTCTGCAGTACCAGTGTGTACCTCTCTGTCACTGCCCTCCCCACATGTCTGATGCCATGTGCTTGTTTGCCTGTGTCCCCCTCTAGAGTGTAAGCTACGTGAGGGCAGAGACCTTGTCACATCTGCCTGTGCATCCCTTAGCACTCAACCCAGCAACCGGCACATGGCAGCCCTCCAATAAATGTTTGCTGGATGGATGGATGGATGGATGGATGGATGGATGGATGAGCAGTGAGAGGGGTAGGTGGATGGATGACTGGACAAACAGACAGGGAGACAGATGCCTACAGAGGAGTCTGGGTGGAAGATAGGGATTACAATTTGATGGGAAGAAATGGAAGCCACACTCTGAGCCAGGCTCTCCTATAGCCAGCTCATCCTCCTTCTGTCTCGTCCCTCCTCCCACAGCTTTTCCTGAACCCTGTGAGTATGGATGGGGCTACGTTACTTATCCTGTCCATCAAGAGGAACCCCAAATCCAAGATGGAGGAGATTGACATTTCTGTAAGTGATTAGATCATGGTTGCTTGCACCAGGGAGCATGACAGATACCACGGCCACGCTATGTTGGCAGGTGCCAACAGCTCTGTCCCCTCATGGGCCCTCACACAAATACTCCATGAAAAGGTCACTCCTTCTGGAGTACGACTTGGCCTTCTCTTGGGGTCCTTTTAATAGGAGTAGCCATTCGGTTGATAACATTGTGGTGTGAAATCATTTACCAGATCCTGATGGGTCTAAGAGCAGAAACACCAGAATCAAAGGTGAGAGGCCCGCAGAACAGAATTTGTTCACTGCCACCTTTGCTGATGGACAGCCCTGGGCCCCAGAATGGTTCCAGAATCATAGAACTTTTAACTTTTTTGGTATTGATTGATTGATTGATTGATTTAGAGAGCATGCATGAGCACGTGCAAGTGGGGGAGGGGCAGAGAGAGAGGGAGAGAGAGAATCCCAGGCAGGCTTTCCACTGACAGCACAGAGCCCAATGCGGGACTCAAACTCATGAACCGTAAGATTGTGACTTGAGCCGGAGTTGGATGCTTAACTGACTGAGCCACCTAGACGCCCCCAGAATCACAGAACTTTTAGAATCTGAGTCCTAAAACATGTAATAACTTGTATTCTTATTTCGTGACTTGGCTGACTGAGTAGAATTTGAGGGTAAGGCCCCCTGGTGAAGGAGGAAGGCCTGAGGAGGTGACTTCACTGGACCAGGTATTCTTGCCTGAATCCTCAGAGAGGTGGTAGCTGGTAAAAACAATATCCTAGACCCGCCCGCCACTTTATACGGTTTCCCCCCAAAGGGATTTTATAGGCTTCGGCTCATTTGATCCTTCTCTGGGAAGCAGGTAGAGTGCACCCATGTCCTAGAGCTGTTCAAACCACGCAAATGTATTGTCGCACCGTCCTGAAAACCAAAGCCCAAGATCAAGGTCATGGTAGAACTGGTTCCTTCAGAGGACCACGAGGAAGAATGCGTGCTGTGCTCCTGCCAGCTCCTGGTGGTTTGGTGGCAATCTGTGGTGTTCCTAGGCTTGGTGGGAGCATCGTCTTGATTTCTGTCTTTAGCTTCAAATGGCACTCTCCCCGCGTGCACGTCTGTCTCTGTATTCAAATGCCCCTTTTTATAAGGACACAGTCATATTGGATTAGGGCCCGCCTTAATGACCTCATCTTAACTTGATCATCTGAAAAGACCCTATTTCCTAATAAGGTCATATTCACAGGTTCCCAAGGGTTAGAACTTCAACATCTTTTTTTTTTTTTAATCTTTATTTATTTTTGAGAGAGAGAGAGAGACAGAGCATGAGCAGGGGAGGGACAGAGAGAGAGGGAGACCCAGAATCCGAAGCAGGCTCCAGGCTCTGAGCTGTCAGCCCAGAGCCCGATGCAGGGCTCAAACTCACAGACCACAAGATCATGACCTGAGCTGAAGTCGGACGCTTAACCGACTGAGCCACCCAGGCGCCCCAGGACTTCAGCATCTTTTTGATGGGAACACAATTCAACCCATAACGAGAACTTTCCCTCATTTTCCCATTTTACATACAAGGAAACTGAAACAGAGAGGTTGGATCACTTGCCCAGGAATACACAGCAAGTGAAAAGCACAACAAAGAGTAAAGCCGAGGCTTCTGCCTCCTACTCTAGTGCAGTGTTAAAGTCTTGTTGTGTTATTTTAAAGCCACACAAATATGACGTTTTGCCAAGATTTTAAAATTTTTTTTTCAACGTTTATTTATTTTTGGGACAGAGAGAGACAGAGCATGAACGGGGGAGGAGCAGAGAGAGAGGGAGACACAGAATCGGAAACAGGCTCCAGGCTCTGAGCCATCAGCCCAGAGCCTGATGCGGGGCTCGAACTCACGGACCGCGAGATCGTGACTTGGCTGATGTCGGACGCTTAACCGACTGCGCCACCCAGGCGCCCCCTGCCAAGATTTTAATGCCTTACAATTATATCAGTGATGATATTTTGAATATTTAAACCCAAACACCTTGGAACTTAAATAATAAGTAAAATTTGGACTTAGGTTTGCCACAGATTATAAAACATTAGAAAAACATACCTGCTTTTCTTTTCAGTCTGTCCCCTGGTTCAGTCTGTTTCTCCTTAGGGGGCTTCTCTCTACGCTCATCCTACAGCTCTGACCTTGTACCCCTGAGGCTGCCTTAGCTCCCACCCCACCCTGCCTCTGGGTCTCAGTTATGTGTCCAGATTTTGTTGGCATTTGCTCTCCCTCCTTCCCCCCGCCCCCAGGGCAGGTTGGAAGGCGTGGAGTCAGGCACTCTCTTGGTGTCTGAGGGAACGTTAGAAATGGTGCTGTTTCGGCCCCAGATGGCACAGAAACCCACAAGCTGGGATCACACTGGCATTTTGTCACAGGTTCCCAAGGGTTAGGACTTGAACATCCACCTATCAGGACAGACAGGTCTGAATTAGCCTTTTCCTTCTCTTTTATCATCTCTCTGATGTAACTCTAAACAGTGTTGGAATTCCTTCACTGCTTCTAGAACATCCTCTAGAATATCTACAAATCAGGATGGGGGAAGCTGTCAGCCCTTTAGCATGAGTTTCATTATTTGAAGTGGCAGAAGATGGTCAGAACCACATCTGAGGAGTGAAGCAGGCTGACTGAACCAGTGAAGGCCCAGTTTGGTCAAACACTGCTTCATAGACCATGTCTTCTCCTGTGGCCTACAACCCAGCCCTGAGGGCACTTCCAAAAGGGGAGTTCCCAATGGGTTTTGAGCCAGGACAGGGTGGTTGGAATGAGGGATCCTCGTCCAGGGCACCTGCTCCCAAGACCAACACTGGTGTAGAAATGGACATTTTAGAACATTTGCCTCAGGACCAGTCTCCTAACCCCATAGCTGTGTCTCATCTGTCACATGCAGACACCGATGCTCGCCATCTAAGAGCAGAGCCGAGCTGACCGTGTGTGACACGGGCTGCTGGCACTCGACTAGGACATGTGATCACACTCATGTGCAAACTTTACAAGTCAAATCGCAAGCCCTAGGAAAGATGAACTCTCCCAGTCTAGAAGCAGCACTGCAGAACAAGCTGGAAAAGACCAAACAAAAACAAACAAACAAAAAACAAAAAACGAAAAAAAAAAAACCTCTCTGCCTTTGGCTTGGATGGGGCGGCTGGTCTGCAGGGGAGTGGGGGATGGGCGTGGGGGTGGAGATGTTACAACAGCGGGCGATGCCTTCCTCACGATGGGTCCCCTCTCTCCCCTCCTCAGAATGTGCTGGTGTCTGAGCAGTTCGTAAAAATATTGGATGGGGTGTGTGCCATCCACCCCCAGCTGGACGTGACGTACAAGGCAGTGCAAGGCTTCTCTGCCAAGAAAGAGCTGCTCTTGTGGACAAACCCCATGAAACTGATCCAGGTGAGCCCTTGCTTTCCTCTCAGAGACCCCAAGGACCAGCGTCTCCCCTCCCCCGAAGTGTCTGCACAGTCCTTTCTGACAAGGAATGTCTTAGACATGGAATACTCCTTGTGGATGTTGGCTCCCCTCAGCACGAAGAGGGGATCTGGGATCTGGGTGAAGAGGGAGGGGCTTGGAACAGGATGGTTTCCACCAGCCAGGCTCCTCCACCTGTTAATGTGCGGCTGAAGGCAAGTCGCTGTGCTCTCTGTGCCCCAGTCTCTTCACCTGGAAAATGGGCATAACGATAGGACTCACCCCGGGAGGGCTGCTGTGAAGATTCAATTCTATAACACGCAAGAAGTGCTTAGAGCAATGCCTGGCCAATAATCAGCGCCCAACAAATGCCAGCTCTTTCCAATAGCCAGTAAGGATGCCAAGATACCCCTGTGGTGAAGACAGCTGTTTGGTGGCTCCAGCTAAAGTGGGACCCTCAGATCCTTTATATCTAGTGGTGACCTGCCCCTGGCTCTAGTCTTAGATCACAGGAGGCAGGTAAAACCATGGAAATGAAAACCCAGACAATTTTAGAGCTGCCAGGGAGCTCCTCTGGTCTGACCACCTCACAGAGTAGCGCCCAGCCCAGGCTGGTGTTCCCATGCCTGGCTCTCACTGGAGGCAGAGTTGACGGGGAAGCTGGATACAGACCGCTTGCTACCTGGGGTGATACCCATGCAGATGTAGATTCTAGAGGACGTGTGCCGCTGGGGCTACCTCCTGCCCCTTTGTTGGTCTGCTCTGTGCCTCAGTTTCCAGGACTAAACAGAAGAGCTCTGCATGGCAATTATTGTTGTGTGGAAAGTTCTAGAAGGCAAGGGGGGTATCGAGTACCTTCACAAGTCAGATGACATCAGATGGAACCAAGGGGACACCTGTTTTGCAAGGGGAGGAGGATGATGCAGGGAATAGGAATGGAGATCTCGGATGGAAAGCGGGGGCCCCACCCCTGCTTAAAACAGCATAGAAATCTCTAGGGATCTCATAGGAATCTCAGATTAGAAACCGAGCCAGATATGCGATGTAAAACACAGTCTTTCCCCTCTGGGGAGAGGGGACAGGCAACAATCTGGTTGCAAAGATGGGACAGATGCAGTAACTTCTCATAGAAAGCATCATACGATAAATAAATGAGTGACCAAGGCAACAAATACCATCTGAATCCAGATTAGAGGCCACTGTGGGATTAGGCAAACAGAAAGGGACACGTCCTGGGGAAGGGTCTTGAAGAGCAAGAAAGAATTCAGGTCAGTGACAGTGACAGGGAGGGAGTTCTGGGGAGAGGGTTCCCACTAGCAGAGGAGCAGAGCAGGGTGCACACAGTGTGCTTGGGAGATGGGAACAGAACCATGTGGCTCCAGCAGGAGAACCGTGTGGTACCAGGCTCCTGCAAAGCCTGGAAGTCAAGGCTACCCAGAGAGGCTGGGGCTGGATGTGGCGGTCCTCAGATTCTAGGCTCAGGGCTGGGGTTGGATTCCACAGGGAGGGGGAGCCAGCTACAGTTGCTGAGCGGTGGGTAAGGTGAATCCGGTAGGACCAAAGAGTAACCTTTCAGGCAATGGGGAGGGAAATAAACTGAAGGGGGTAAATATGAGAGTGGGAATGCTAATGAAGGCACTATGGTAGTATTCTCCATGTGCTAACTAGTATTCTAGAATGGTGCCTTGCCTGAGGATAGCAGTGGAAGTGGAGGGACAGATGTAGGAGATTCCCTAATGGAGAAGCTCCAGGATTTGGTAAATGGCTGGGCACATGGTGCATGTGGGCAAGTATGCGTGTGTGTGTGTGTGTGTGTGTGTGTGTGTGTGTGTGTGCTGGGAGAAGGGAGGCCTGTGATGATAGGAGCGAGCCAATGATAACTCCAAAACGTCAAGCCCAAGGGACTAAAATAAAGGTGGTGACGCTGCCACCACAGGGAGGTCTTCTGTAGCCCCACCCTCTCCACCTACCCATCCCCCCCTGGTTCCCGGAAATCCAGCCCCACAAGATTTCCCCCTGTTTCTCTGCACTAGCTCTCACTCAGCTCCAGGCCTGTGCACGTGCAGGTTCCTCTGCCTGGAACACCCTTCTTCCTGTCCTCAGTGTCGTACTCATTCCTACTCTTTCTCTAGGTCTCTATTCAAGTTCACCTCCTTGGGCCTGCCAGGTCTGGGAGCCTGGGCCACCTTTTGGCGGAAGGTGGCAGTGGAGGGTGGGGATGGGGTGGGGTGTTGTTAATAGATGTTACAAAGTCAAGTATTTGCTTCTGGTGTCTCCGGTTTCTCTCAGAGCTATGCAGACCAGCACCAAATCACGGTCATAGACTTCTTCAAGAGCTTGAACCCTAATGGAAGAATGATGATGTCTGTGGGTGACTTCCGGAAAGCTATGATACAGGTGTGCTGAACCCTAGTGGCAACAGCCAGTGTGGGGTGTGTGTGTGTGTGTGTGTGTGTGTGTGTGTGTGTGTGTGTTTAGGCCTGGGAAGGGGTAGGCAGAGAGCTCCATTGACTTTGCATGTTCCATCCACTTCTTCAGCAGGACAAGGTCCCTATGAACCCGTACCAAGTCAGGGAGCTGATAAAGAAGCTGGCTGAGAAGACAGGCATGGTGAACTTCAGGTCAGTCTAGGCCCAGCGCCCATCTTATCCTGCTTCTGCCCCAGGCAGGCCCCCAGTTCTCTATAAGGCGTCCCGGTGGTGTCTACATTTGATCAGTTGCAGCCTCCCCTGAAGCAGCTGGCCGCGCCCTCCCTGGCTTCCGAGACTGGCCCCACTGTCTGCCCTCCTCCTCAACTCCAATTCACCCTCCCAGCAGAGCTGCAGCCTCAACCGTGTGCTGTTGGCTGTGGGACCAGATTCTGGGGACACAGTGTCAAAGCCAAGTAGGAGGGGACGTAACAGAGCACGTGGGTAGGCCCTGGCGTGGTGAGAGGTCTGTGGCAGGTGCCTGGGTAGCTCAAAGAGGAGGATTACTCGGGCAAGAAGCAAGGGTGGAAGCGTAAGCCTCACGTGGCTGGGAAACTGCAGCCACTCAGCTCTGCTGTGGCCTAGGGGATGATGCCGTTGTGACTTGGGCTCAATTCCTTAAAGAGACAGGAAAGGGCCTGTGTAACAGTAAGAACTGTAAGAACACCTGTGAGCCCCTCCCTTGGGCCAAGTACTCTGTGGGGCCCCAAACCTGTCCAGGTGCCTGACGCTGTCATCGCCCATATGTGGCCCAGGTGCCCAGCACTGTCATGACCCATATGTGGCCCAGGTGCCCGATTCTGTCATCACCCGTACGCAGTGAAGGATGAAGGCTCCCAACTGACCCAGCAACCTCTCGTGTTAGACACCAGTCCTTAGGGAGCTCTATCAGAGGGACCCCCCTCTGGTCCTGCCCCCCGAGCCTCCCCACCCTGTACCTCTGTTCTGTGCCCTCTTCAATACTTGCCACGGGGAGAAGCCAGGGCAAAGATCGGAAAGGCAGCTGGACCTATCTGCACACCTTGCTTCTAGGGAGGGGGCAGCTCTTCACAGGGCTCTTAGTCTCCAAGTCTTTAGAATGGGGTGTAACCACAGCACCCAAGCGGCTTTGTAAGGATAGAGTAGGGACAATGTGCCTAAGAGGCTGGCACATGTCACCCAGCAAGAGGGCTCGTTCTGAAGATGTCTCAGGCTTGCACGTCCCCCACACCACGTCTCTGTCCTGAAACTCCCCACCTGCCCCCCCTAAAGTGGTGCTTGGTGTCCTTGGGAAGCTGGTGGGAAGTGCCCAGGCAGAGGCCAAGAGACCAGGTTCCAGGTCCAGCAAACCCTTCAGCTTTGCAGATGAGGTCAAGTGGCCATCAAGAGGCAATACTGGGGTCTGGGTCCCCGTGTCTTGGGAACTGAGGGGGCGGTCTCTCGTGGGCACCTCAAATTGTCCCTCAGCTCTATTCTAATCGAAGAGCAGAGCGGTCATTTTTATTGTTGCATGAATTTTTTATTTTCATTTTTGTTACGAATAATATCTACTTGTAAAAATTCTAAATCCACAGAAGTATAGCAAGAAGAAAGTGAAGGTTCTTTTTTTATCTCTTCTCCACGGTACATGCTGCCTCCCATGAACAATCCCAGCGCACATTTCCGTGCCTTTCCCATACTTGCCATCGAGTGTGCATGTGTGCGTGCACACGTGAGTGTGTGTGGTGTCGTGGTTTAAAACGTGGGCTCTGAGGCCAGACTGCCTGAGTTCCAAGCCCAGCTCCACTCCTGTGCAAGTTACCCAATCTCCGAAAGCTTCAATTTCCCCATCTGTACCGTGGAGCTAATAATAGTACCCATGGCATCGGAGCTTTTGAGGAGTAAATGGATTAATGCCTGTAAAGCATTTAGAACATTACCTGGCATGTGCTAGGCTCCGAGTACACATATGTTTTATTATACATTATTGTACCCTCACACTGACAAACACACGGTTTCTTGTTTATCCTAAATAGAATCATGCTATCACGTTCCTCTGAATTTGCTCTGCCTTCCAGTATGTCTTGGCAATCTTTCCGTGTTTGTGCATTTAGATCCATCTCAGTCTTTTTTAACTGCCGCGTGCTATTTCATAGCACAGAAGTCTCCTTATTTATCTCATTGTTAGGGACATTTAAATTATTTCCATTGTTTTGCTACTACAAATAATACTATAACCAGCATCCTTTTGTAGATGGTGTTTGCCCACACGTGTTTCTCTAACAAGGCGGAGCGGATCCAGGGCAATCGCTGGGCCAAAGGGTGTGCATATTCTAAATTTCAGTCGACTGCTAAACCCTTCCTTGCCAATGGCAAAAAACGATTCTTCTGCCCCCTCCCCGGGCCGACACCAAAACTTACCCATGTTCAACCCTCCTCCTGCGATGGGTTTACAAATGATCCTGCTTGGATTTGAGTCTGCCTAAACACTCCCTTCAATCAGGCGGCATTGGCACTCAGCATTATCCCCTTACCTTTCAAACCAGTTTCCTAAAAACAGAGAAGCGGTAGCAACAAGTCTGGTCTGAAAAGAAGTCACCGCGACGGAGAGGTCCTGGCAAGTCGATTGGTGGCATTCAGGAGGCGAAGATCTGTTCTGAAACCTCCGTAGACAAACACCAAGGCCAGACTGTGAGCAAGCCAATAAAGTCTGCCTGGGTCTCCAAGTCTCTGGGCTGCAG